GCAACGAGTTCAAAAACTGTATTTCCTTGTATGAAACAGAGCAAACATCAAGCTTAAACCTTACTCATGAAAGCACTATACTTGAGCAATAACTAATCACAGGAACACAGAATGCTGTCAGGGCACTGATAACCATTTTGATAGCAAGTAACTTAAAAAACCCAAACTTAAATAGGTGTGTACTTGCTTGCATGAAAGGATAATATTTGTTTTACTCAATAACACCATGAACATGATTCTATTTGCAAAGATTTGCAAAACATGAACTGCATTTGCTACCAAAGCATCTAATTGTATAGGTTTCAAATCCTAAAACTAACATGAAAGTCCTTTTGAACCTGATTTGCATTGATAGAGACAGTGAAATTTGCATTCAATTGATTTCTGCAGTTAGAAGAACACAATGGTATTATAATTCCCGTTAGTAAATTAATAGGTATTAAATTTTGTAGTCACTGCAACAGAACAGAAACTTAATTTTCCAAGTGGTCTCACTGATACCAGTGGGACTCCCTCAGGCTAAATAATCAGAAGGTGCCAATACTGAACATCACTGGAGTGCCAAACTGGAACTGGATGTTATATGCAGCAGGGAACATTTGACAGCACATATTAATCCAGGCTTAAATACTACAACAATTCATTCTCTGAAAACACATTTTTAAATTAAACATTGCATTGATGAATTTTATGTCCATCTTTAACTATCCCACATCCAGGATATAATAATTTATTTTTTAATAAATCATAATTGTTGGCCAGTCATAGCGTTCAACACATTAGTCACTGTTGTGCTTACTGATTTCCCCCTTCATACACTTTTCCTACATTAGCATTTTTATTTGAAAGTAAATCAGTCTTACAAATTTGTGAAACCCAGGCGAAGTGTTCAAAAGCACACAGATCAGACTGCCACCAGCTCCACCTGCCAACCAAGCAACTCACCAGTCCTGACACTTGTGTAGTTTAAGGGCTCACCTATGGCAGGGGAGAAAAAAAAAAGATCTTAAAACAGGTGGCCAGTACACTGTAGGACAGTGATTTAGAGACAGTTATGCTGTGGGGGTATTTGTATTTTTAGTTTAATTTGGCTGGCTTTACTGAATTACGTGTTAATGGGAAAAAGCGCAGCTAAGGAGACAGCTTTTTCTTTTCTCTAAGTCTTCCCACAGCAACAGTGCTGGAGAGAACAGAGTGACAATGACAGAGGGATGAAGCAGCAAGATGTTAAGATAGAGATCACCAAGCCAAAGAAGAGGATTTGGCTCTACTGGACAATGAGATGAAGAATGGAAACACGGCAAAGAAAATGGACAGAACAAGGACTATTAAGGTCAGAAACAGCTCTATGTCAAGACTAGAGCAAGATGTTTACAGGATAAAAGGATAAACAGCTGGAGCACAGTCTGAAAGTGTCCAGCCTCTGCAAGGCAGAGACAGGAGTTTGTTCCTCAAAGCCTCAGATCTGAAAGTAAACCCTGTGGATTCTCCTCTTCTGATGATGGGGCAAAGTATCCACAAAGTGTTACACTCATTTATGTCTGCAGATGAAGGTAACCAACTACTGCCATCAGGAACACTGTCATCAGTGGGGTAAGTGCAAAATCCCATGCAGTTGCTGGTATAATTTAACACAATGACAGCTCAGATTTTATAAAAAGTAATGCAGAAAACCAGCTAGAAAATGAGAAAATTAAAATCTTTTTTAGAAACATCATTCAATCACTCTGAAGACATGTAATCTAAGAAATGAGACTTTCTGTGACATCACATCTCACTTTCCCTGTGCACTGTGATACTGTTAAACCAGTCCACCCACACCCTATAACCCCCTCTCCATGACCTGTGCATCACTTAGTACAGAAAATGGATGCACTTTGGTCAAGAAAGATTAAACTATCATATGGTCTGATGGAAGAGATAGGAACTGAGGACATAGCTAGAGAATGTGAATTCCCCTTGTAGGTATGATCCCAATACCTGCTGAGAAATTGAGAGTGCAAGGTAAGAAAAGCCATCACATCTGGTCAGTGGTTATACACTCTGCTTTCCTGATTCCCCCTGTGAGACTCTAGAACCCTTCAAGCATAGTTTGAGCTCGGAACACCAAAAATTGAAAACCACCAAAAAAATTGAAACACCACCAAAAAAAAAAAAACATAAACAAACGCACTGTTGGGGCAGGAGAAAAGTCTGCAAACGTTTCTCAGTCATCATGCCAAAAACTGGCTGATAGTTTAAAGGAAAAAAATATGCAGGAATTGAGGCAAACATTTATCAAAATGTAAAAGTGAACAAGAAAGGGATGCTGCAATGGCAGATCCTAATCACATGGCACAGCTAGTCAGTGCTGCACAGGGAAGCCCAGAGGAAATAAAAAATTCTATTTCATTATGCCACATGGATGAGGGGCAGAAACGATAAATGGACCACACAACGAACTGTGAAGACTTATAAAAGCCCTATATCTGAATCACTGTCTCTTCATGAGCAAAGTAGGGTCCTGATGTGACTGTGTAATGGGACTGTCATACTGACATCACAATGCAAAGCCAAGGTCTGCACAGACATTTTCAACTGTTAAACCTACTGCTTTCATCCCTGCATACTTCTGTCTTGCCACATTAATGAAAGAAAGCAGATTTTGTCATTATGATCATACACTGCATTCCCAGGGTACAGGTGGAGTAGGAGAGCAGTGACAACTGGCACACAAAAATTACACTACAGCAGCATAGGGCGACAATGCAGAAGAGAAGAGTGAGCCCAGAGTCTCACAGGACCAGTGAGCCTGGGCAGCACAAGTCACAGCATGCAGCTGCAGTGTCCACAAGCAGCACAGCTATGAGCTTCCCAGCAGACTTAATCCACAACCCAGATAGTCTCCCACAGTCAAGCCTTGACTGCACAGCAGAACTCTGTTAACCCTACCACTCATTGCAGCAGGCCACATTCTCCATAAACTGCAAGCAACCCTCAAGTGCACACCCTCTAACAAATGTCTGGAGTCTAGTAATGGGCTAGTTGCCTCCAGGGCGGTGGCTACAGTACAAAGCTTCATTTCAGATTCACTGGGTTTGAAGACTTGAGAGAATCTGTTACCACTGTATAATCTTTTCCCTGCACATGAGCCAGACTCCCAATTCTGCAGCACAACCTAAACCAAAAGTGTTGAAAGCTTTGCACTTACCAGGGAGAATACAATTTATGAAACATATAGCTCAAGACTATCTGATGGGTAGTAAAAAAAAGCTAGTAACCACACCTACCCATCCAGCCTTTACCTGACTATAAAGGTATGACGATGCAATGATTCTGTCAATGCAAAGATCAGGTGTGCTGACCAGGCAGAGTACAACAAATGCTGACTCTGTCAGAGTTCAACAAATGTTGAAGCCAAGGTTGCACCTCTGTGGTGGGGGGGGTAAGAAAAGGGAAGTGAGGGATTTGGTGAAAGAGTCAATGGATGCTTCTGATCACTGAAGTGATATGGAAGCAGGGAGAGAGAATAAAGGAGCACCTCAGGTTAGATATCAGAAAGGCAACCTCAACTTCTGAGGAAGCTGGCCAGCACAGGGGAAGGCTATGCCAAGCATGTGGGACACAAAGTCTTACAGCAGAAGACTGATAACCAGTCCGGGTAGCGAGCCGTACCACTACCAGCATTCACTGGCATCACCTCGTGCGGCACCTGCAGATGGAACACCACCGCATCATCCACAGGCAACACAGCCACACCAGAGATGCACCACTGCTGCCACTTGTGCTTGAGCAAAACAAAAATTCAAAAAAGTCCTTCTCCCCATCCGAAGAAATGCCAACGTGTAAGACACCACCTGCAATGTGGATGTTGGACATACTATTACCATATTGAAACCACGATAAAAATACTCCAGCAATTTTCTAACTCCTGTTAACCTCTCCTTTTTCCCCCTTGTTCACTCACTTAAAGCAAATAGTAAAGGAAAAACCCCAAACAAACCCAAAAAGGAAATTCTAGTCATTCTCCATGATTCTCTGGAGTAATACTCTTACAAAAGTAGTCTGGCAAAGAACTTGTGAGCTAAAGTGATTTGTAATAAATTGATAGTATTTCCAAGGAAAAGTTTCCATTAAATAATAATACATGGGAATCAGACATCTTGAAAACCAAAGACACTTGGAAGTGCCTTTCTAACAGCAGTAGGCAAAACTACCGTCACAAAGCATAATACCAGTTGTAGCCACCCTCCCACTTTCGAAAAGCATGGAGAGTAAAAAGCTGAAATCGAACTTGGGAGAGGAAAAAAAGTGAAGAATGGGGACTCTGCACCGCAGTTTACAAACATAGCAGCCGAACTAAGAGGTGTTTTTTTTAGCTTAGCAAAACTGTAATAAAATCTTTGTCTGCCTTTAGTTTTAACCTGACACATCCTTTTGCAGCGAAACAAACACGAATAGCAATTCAACTTTCTGCAATACACGACCTTACCAAAACCGCTAGGAACCAAAATCCAACCCACCGACCAAAGGCAGCATAAAATGGTTGATTCGAAGCGAGCACGTTGCCCTGACAAACCCAACTGCTGTACGACGGCAAACAAAACTGACCGAAAAGCAGGACTCCATTTTTAATCGTGACGGAATAAAGCGGGGATTTTTCAACGGAGCTCCGAATCCGCTGCTCGGGAGCGATGCGCTTCCCGGCCGCCGGGGATGCGCTCTGCTCCCGGGCCGCCCGCAGCCGCGGGATCCCGCCGCTCTCAGCATCGCCGCCGGGCGGCCCCCGCCCTCCGGCAGGTCACCGGGCGGGGAGCCCGGCGCGCAGCCCCCGCCCCGCGGGTGTTTCGGGGAGATCCCGCGCAGCAGCCGCGCAGGGCCCAGTCGAGTCCCGCCGCCGCCCCGGGCAGCCGCCCGCACAGCCGCCCTCTCCGGGCGCGCCTCCGCCCCGAGGGCCCCGTCGCGGCCCCGCCGCCGCCTGCGCCACCGCGGGAGGCCGCGGGGCCCGGGCCGCCGCTCACCGCTCTTGACGTCTCCGGGCGCCGAGCCGCCCGCGGCCGCCGCGCCGCCCGCTCCGCCGCCCGCTCCGCCGCCGCCGCCCGCGGCCGCCGCTCCGGCTCCGCCGCCACCCGCGGCACCGCCGCCCGCCGCCGCCGCGGCTCCGCCGCCCGCCGCCGCCCCGTTCTCCTGCTCGTCGCCGCTGCTGTTGGCGCGCTTGTTCTTCTTGCCCTTGCCGCCCTTCTGGTTCGGCATCGCGGGCCCGGCCGCCGCCGCGGCGGGGGCGGGCGGGCGGCGGCGGCTGCGGAAGGCGCGGCCGCCGCTACCTCCGGCTCATGGCGGGGCGGCGGCGGCCGCGCTGCGCTGCGCCGCGCCCGCGGTGGGCGGTGGGGCCCGGGGGGCCGGGCCGGGGAGGGCGAAAGGCGTGTCCCTCCCGGCCGCCCGCTGCCGCCGCCCCTCTTCCTCCCGGAGCAGGCGCGGGCGGCAGCGGGAGGCGGCGTGCGCTGCGAGGGGAGGCCGGGGCCGAGCCAGGCGCGGGCGGCGGGAGGGGCTTATCGGGAGAGGGAAAGCCCCGCTCCCTACCGGCGCGGGCGGGGGCAGGCGTGCTGTGCCGCCGGGAGCCGGAGCTGCAGCCGGTGTCCCCGCAGCCGGGGCAGGGTGACGGGCGAGCGGGGACGGCGGTCTCCGAGCGCCCCCCCGGCCCCGGCCGTGCGCCGGAGGCCGCTCCCCCGCCGCGGCGTCCCGGGCGCTGTGAACGTCCCAACAGCGGGAAACACTTGGAAAATGTCACCTGAACGCGCAGGAATAAAAAGGAGATGGAAGGAAACCAAAACAATGCGGTCCCTGGGGGGTGGGGGGTGGGGAGCAGAAAGCCTTACAGCAGCACAGCCCTGCCTTTGGATTTCCCAGCTCATGTGGTTCCTGATGGGGGTGGCTCCGTGGGTGACGGACTGCGGGGGCGAACCTTTTGGATGTGAGTTACAGAAGACTCAAGTGCTGCGCTGCTCTGGGGCGGAGCTGGAAGCACTCTGCCACCACAGAGGCGTTGTCGAGGGGCAGCAGCCTCATCTTCTCCAGGAGTCCGGGCTCGGTGGGAGGCACTGCGGAAAATGGGTACCTAATTATCGTGGGATTCCTGCACGCAGGGACTCGACATGCTGCCCGTCAGCTGCAAAACAGCAGCACTCGTGGCTTGCCTTTTCCTGGCCGACGAGCAGCAGCTCACTGCTCGTAGGTGTCACCTGCCCGTATGCTCACATACCTACCAGTTTATCCAATTTGGGAATAAAAAACTGCAGCCTATAATAAGAACATCATACCAGTTCCCAGGATGAGCCATTATCCTGAGTTTGGCAAGCTTTTCCTTGCACATAACTTTTTTTCATTCTCATCCAGATCCTGGAGAGGATCCATGACTTCCTTATGGAAGAAGTAGACATGCATGCAAGAAATTGAGCAGTTATGTTACTGGTCTGTGACATGCCTGAGCTGTTTGGGCTCTAGAGATCAAATCAAAGTAGATGGGTCAAAATAAGTGAGATCTCTCTGATAGGAATGTGCTCCATTTTTTAAGTCACAATTTTGTCTGAAGTAACTGGTCAAACTCTTTGACTGGAACAGTTCCCAAATATTTTCCTTTCAAAAATTACATACGTTCTGTATCATCTTGTACCTGTAGCCAGGGCCTTCATTTCCCAAGAAAATTAGCATCTGTATTTTCAAATACTCTTGAAGCAGCTATCACAAGAAGTTTTGAGTCAAATAGCCTAGATTCTTTGCCTGCAGATGTCAGCATTTCAGAGATATTTTTAAAAAGTTCCTTGTGTTGGTGGAAATGTTCTGAAATTATATGCTTTCCAGTGTCTTGCATTCCCACAGTTAAATGTCCTGCCTACCTTAGTTCATAGTTTTGAAGCTTCTAAATTGTATTTCTATCTAGAAACCAGAGAAATGGTGAAACTGTGGCCAGTTTCCGAGGCCACAAGTCTGGGCAAATCCTGATTCCAGCCACCTTAGTTGCAGGACTTCAATCTAGCAAGAGCAAATTTTACTCCTACTACTGTAGGTTTACAAAAGGAAAAAAAAAAAAGGAAAAAGAACCTTTCCACTATTTTACAGGCGCATAAATGTGTTTGCCTGCTGTAACAGAGGATCAGACTGCCAAGAAAACTTTTCAAGTCTTCAAGTTCCAATAAAACAGTGAAAACTCTGTGGATGTGAAATAGGGGCCTGATTGACATGTCCATGGTGTCAAAAGAGCTGCACATAGAAAGAATCATGAGGCTGAGAAAATGTACAAGGTCTGTTTTCAACAGAGAAAAAAATTCCCCAAAACAAAGTATTTTAGGTTTACAGGTACTGGCCAATATTTCATTCTTGGTGTAATCTCCTTTGAGGTTAAAAAATGAGCCTGAGAACATCAATAACAGAAATGAATTACTGCACCTAATCAGCATGATGGTATAGGAACAAACAAGACTTTCTCAATAGATACAGACTAGACACTTAAAATCAGGGTCAATCAACAAGAAATGGGAGAAGATAAAATAGTGCCATTCTACTTCAATTGCTGACAGAGAGACATATTCCACTCCATGACTGTCAAAAAGTGTGAGAGAGAGCTAACAGGAATAATTTTGTAATCTTCCTCTCAGAAATATTTAATACAAAAAACCTGTATTCTAAACTTTCTTTTTAGGTGCTTTTATGTAAGCATAAGTTTAAAAATAAATAATTAGATTAAAATAGTGAAAACTCAAACTCAGACCTCTCCAGTTCTCCAAACAATGAATTGAACAACAAATGTTCATTTTTGTCCAGGTTCAAGCTGATCAAGTAGAACTACCCATGAAGAAGAAATAGAAGTAAAACGTCCTTTGTGGGAGATAAAATTGAGTACTTTGGTTGATTTATTGCTAGCTATTATTGTCACCTCTCCAGATAAGAGATTGCTGCTCACCCAGCTGCTTGAGATGACTAAAACCTCACATCTGGGCTTCAGTTAGTTGCCATTCACAAGTACCCATTCTTAAGAGAAAAAGAGTCCCTCAACCTCTCACTCTGTCACCCCCATCTGTGATTTCTGCTGGTGCCACTTTCACCTCCCATCCCCTGTTAGTGAAGGCCCTCGCTGAGTGCCTGGACGTATGTGTGCTGCAGCTCCCCTTTCCTCAATGGCTTTGGCCCAAACTCCAAAATCAAGAGATGAAGTGACTTTGGTTCTTCAACCCAGTCTCAGTAAGTAGTTTTGGTCCTAGAAGTCACTTACCATTTTTCCTAAGTAGCATTATGTGAAGCATTCCAACTTCAAAGACAATAAAATCTGGGTTTCCTGAAGCATCTTTCTCTGTCCCTAGTGTGGAATAGTGGCAGACAGGTTCGTTGCAGTTGGCCAGTGAAATTTGTCAGGGGAAATGTGAGCTTCTCAGCTCAGAAATAATTAGTGACAACTGACTGAATGCAGACTCTTGTGAGCCCCAAGTATTTTTTAAGTCTTGGGAGTTTGCTTCCAGATCATCAAATTTATAGCTTTTGCAGCTACTGAGAGAAAATTGGTGGCATTTCTCACCCTCACTGCTGCTGTTCAGAAGTAGGTAGGTGATGAAGCTGAAGAAAAATATATCAATTTCACATAATTATTGCTGAGATTACAGGCAGGGCACATATTTTCCATGGGAATATCACGTGTCTGTTAAAAACACCTGATTTTTCGGAAGCTGCAAAACACAAAATTATTCATAACTTGGAATTTTTCCCATTTCTCCATGAGTGTTTACTACAAAGAAGTTGCTAGTTAGCATTTCTTCCTGCCATTTCTTAAGAAAAGGAAAAGGAAACACAGCATATAATGTGTCAGCTGTTACTCATTCTTTGAATAATAGATGCTATTTTGTGCAAAGGCTCCAAGACAGCATGGGCAAGTTTTCTCTGAAACTGTAGGAAAGTGATATAGCAACAGTTGTTGAAGGAGAAGGGATGGGAAAGTCTTTGTTTCACTTTTGTGGTGTTTACTTTTGAAAAACTCAATTGAGTTTCCAAAAATCCAGTGGGGAAACATTTGCCATCCCTGGGATGAGCAACAGGCAGGGGATTAGTCTCTCCTGCTATCACTAATTATGTGTAAATGCACAGGTTTGGGGATTTATAATGAGATCTCAGGAGATGGGTTCTGTTATTACTAATTGCTACTACTCAATTGAATGGGAAGATTGGTTTGGATATCTGTGGTAGGGATGCTGTAAAGCAATGCAGAGCTGTGCATGAAATATGGGAAAGTGGTGCTGTATGCAGTCCCTTGAACTCAAAGGAGTTTGAGCACTCATGATCAAAGGTGAAGGTCCTAACTCCAAAGCAAAGCATGAGCATGATGTTCTCCTTGTGCTGAAACTCAGTCCCACTGACCCAGACCTTATTTCCTGGTGATGGGACCAGGGCAGCTGCAGCACAAGGACAAGGTTTCTTCCTCCTGACTCCTAAACACAGCCAGTGCAGCAGGCTTACCTGTCCCTTCCCAGTCACCAGGCAAAGCCCTTTGTGTTGATAACAGCCAGCTATTCCACATTCCATCTCTGAAAACATCACTGAGGTTTGTAGCAGTTGTGTATGCCTGCCTCTGCAAGAGGCAGGGCAGGCTGAGCTCAGCACTTGCTGTTCTCCCACCATCTTCATCCTTATAAACAGATGGGCCTCCTGTACAAGTTGTGCCTCGGTTGCATTTAGCTAACAAAAACTAACAAAAGTCCAAATCTCCACTGCACCCGCAAAGAATAATGAGGATTAAAGACTCATCCAGAGTGCCGGAAGGTTCATTTGCATTCCTGGTCTGGCCATCCCCCTCTTTTCCATTTTGTGAAAGGACCCTCTCCCCATTGTCTTTCTGTTGCTAAGACAAGAGAGCTAAAATACTTTCGTTGATGGGGGAAAGTAGAAGATCTTATTCATCACATCTCATTTATACGTAATTCCTACACATCATACACTTCTGCCGCAATTACCATTTAACTCATTTATCTCCAGAAAAATACACCAGTCGTCTCTGTGGCTGCCCTGTTTATCGTCTCTGGCTGTGGGAGCTGGTACTGGCCAGGTGCAGGGACAATGGCTGGCTATTCATTTCTCTGCACCAGCTGTTACCCTCAGCATGCACCCAGTCTGGGTCCTGCTGGTAATAACCCTGCTAAGGCTGCTGCTGCAACTTTCATTTCATTTCAAGAGCTAATTCTGAATGATTATTTTGAGAACATGCCTAAGTATAGTGAGGGGTAAGTGTATTTTGTAGAAAGACATGTTACAGGCTTTAAATCTGT